GGACTACTACACAACCATAAAGAACAATGATGAATCTGTGAAGCATCTCATAACATGGATGAATCTGGAGGGCATTATGCTGAGTGAAATAAGTCAATCACAAAAGGACAAATATTGTACGAGACCACTACTATAAAAACACATGAAAAGGTTTACACATAAAAAGAAACAATTTTTGATGGTTACAAGGTAAGGGAGGGGTGAGGGTGGAAAAACACTAAATAGACAATAGATAAGAGGTAACTTTGGTGAAGGGTAAGACAGTACATAACACTGGGGAAGCCAGCACTACTTGTTTAGGTTAAGGTCATGGAAGCTCCATGGACAAATCCAAACTCCCTTAGGGACTGAGTTACTGGGCTGAGGGCTGGGGGGACCATGATCTCAGGAAACATCTAGCTCAATTGGCATAACATAGTTTATAAAGAAAATGTTCTACATTCTACCTTGGTGAGTAGTGTCTGGGGTCTTAAAAGCCTGTGAGCAGCCATCTAAGATACTCCACTGGTCTCACCCCTTCAGGAGCAAGGGAAAATGATGAAAACTAAAGACACAGGGGAAAGATCAGTCCAAAGGACAAACGGACCACAACTACCACAACCTCCACCAGACTGAGTCCAGCACAACCAGATGGTGCCCAACTATCACCACTGACTGCTCTGATAGGGATCACAATACAAGGTCCCAGATAGAGCTGGAGAAAAATGTAGAACAAAATTCTAACTAAAAAAAGACAAGACTTACTGGCCTGACAGAGACTGGAGAAACCCCGAGAGTATGGCTCCTGGACATCCTTTTAGCTCAGTAATGAAGTCACTCCTGAGGTTCACCGTTTAGCCAAAGATTAGACAGACCCATAGGACAAAATGAGACTAAATGGGCACACCAGCCCAGCGGCAAGGACTAGAAGGCAGGAGGGGATAGGAAATCAGGTAAAAGGGAACCCAAGGTCAAGCAGGAAGAGTACTGGCATGTCATGGGGTTGTTAACCAATGTCATAAAACAATACATGTACCAACTGTTTAATGAGAAGGTAGTGTGTTCTGTATACCTTCATCTAAAGTACAATAATAAATAAATAAATAAAAGAATATCCCAAGCTTAAAGACATGGGAATAAAGCCAATGGAGCCTGGTCCTCAAGTCACATGATCTTGTAAAGGAAAGATAAACTAGTGGGTATTAGTTTGTGAGCACTTTCATAGAAAAGCTGCAATGGTAGATTTCAAAGATAATTCTTACCTTCAGGAGTTTAAAAGCAGGTAAGACAGTGTGGTCTGAAACCAGCAGCATCAGCATCACCTAGGAACTTGTTAGGATGTAGAATCTAAGACTCGTCACAGATCTACCCAGAAACTCTGCATGGGGCACTAAGAGATGATAAGTACACTAAACCTTCAAACTGGAAAGATTTTAGTAAAATATGAAACAATGTAAACACAGATCCTACACACTCAACTGAGTTTACTTTTGGGAGGATATGGACAATGGGATAGGAAGCGGCAGATAAAACTGATCTAACTGCTTACATCTTAAATCTTAAGCATAAAAGCATGCCTTTGAAAAGCAGCTCAGTAAGGCATGTCTATTCTGTGTTTGCACTAACAATGGTCTACTCAACAACCAGAGCAAATGACTGAAATATCAATAACTCAATGCCCATGAGAGAAGAGACACATTTATAATGCTTCTACACTAATCTAATCAGTACTGGTTGGATAGGCGATCAATAAACACTTCTTGAATTATACTGAAATGAACACTAATAGGTTAAAAAAAAACCTTAAATAGTAAATACTAGAAAAAGGATTTAAGTTACTAAATATTATTAATATTTAAAAGGGAGTAGAATAGAAACAAAGTTAGAGAAAAATTTTTAAATAAATGAGGATTCTAAGCTCAATAATTTAGAAGGCACTCAACACTTTTCTACCATTTCTTTGCTTAATATACACCCTCTTAGTTTTCTCATTGCCAAGTACTAAGGATATGATCATGCACAGCAGGTGAGAGTATTATGTCACACCAGTATTCCTTTTTTTTTTTTTTTTTTTTTTACAGTTATCAACATGCCTTACACCTTGATTTGGCCAGTCTAAAACTTAAAGGATTTCTAATTTTTCTAGGTGGAAGAATTTTATTATGTCAGAAATGATTTTCATCATCCTTACACTACACCACAAACTCTGGCAATGGAATCACTAATATCCCACCATCTAAAGGCTTTTCTCAATAGCTTGTGGCAGTGATCCAGTTCTCCTTAGCAGAAGGATTGGGAGAGATCAGAGAGGGCCTCTTAGAATAACAAGGAAGGAAGGAAAGAAGAAGATTCAAGAAACATGACATAAGGGAAAGAACAGCCTCTGGGGCCAGCCCTCTGAGGAAAGCCATCAGTTTGGTCTTTGTGACAGCAGAAGGTCTCTACCTCACAGTTGGGAAGAGATGAGTTAGCTGGATGCTTTTTAGTATCACTTCTCTAAACTTACATATCCGATCATGCTGCTTTAGTCTTTAAAGAGTTCCCAGAAAAACATTAGCTATAATTTCCAAAAGTTACACAACAAGGTGCTAACAGAGGCATTTTATGATCAAATAGTTAATAAACCTCTACTGTGTGCCAGGAACTGCACAATAAGTTAGAGATACAAGAGTGAGCAAAACAGACATGGTTTCTGCCCCCACTGGGTTTTCTTTATGACTAGCAGGTTTTTGTGTATTTTTTTCCTAACACTTTTCAGTGATACGTCTTTAAAGCAAAATGCTGAGCGCTAATATCAGTTATCTGTCGAGAAATGTTAATAGCAAAGATGGAGCGAAGGATACACTGTATGTCATGGACTGAACTGTGTCCCCCAAAAATGTGTGTTGACTAGCCCACGATTCCCAGTATTGTGTGGTTGTCCACCATTTTGTGATCTGATGTGATTATCCTGTGTGTTGTAAATCCTAACTAACCTCAGTGATGTTAATGAGGCAGGATTAGAGGCAGTTATGTAAATGAGGCAGGACTCAATCTACAGGATTAGGTAATATCTTGAATCAATCTCTTTGGAGCTATAAAAGAGAGAAGCGAGCAGAGAGGAGAAGGACCTCATACCACCAAGAAAGAAAGAAAGAAAGAAGCACCAGGAGTGGAGCTCATTCTTTGGACCTGGGGTCCCTGCACTGAGAAGCTCCTAGACCAGGGGAAAATTGATAACAAGAACCTTCCCCCAGAGCCAACAGAGAGAGAAAGCCTTCTCCTAGAGCTGGCGCTTTGAATTCAAACTTCTAGCCTCCCAAACCGTGAGAGAATAAACTTCTCTTTGTTAAAGCCATCCACTTGTGGCATTTCTGTTATAGCAGCACTAGATAACTAAGATGCTATGGTAGAATAAGGGAAGTGAACAACTGGGAATATATGTGGAGCTGCTAAATTTCTGAGCTTAAAGGGAAAAATCCGATATATTACAAAAGGAATAAAGTCTAAACTCCTTAAAATGTCCAAAATGATCTGGTCCCAGTCTATCTTCCCAGGTAATTTTAAGCACCCTCCCCTCACTCAGTAGCTCTGGCCATAGTAGCTTTCTCTCAGTTCCTTGATCATGCTCAGTTCATTCCAGCCACAGAAATTTTGCACATGCTGTGCGACCAACCCAGCGCCGGACACTTAACAGGTACTCAATAAATAGTGTAGAACAAATGAATACAATTTTATCATGATTTTTAAAATTTATCCCATTAAAAAAAGATATATTTTAAATAGATCCATTTGACAATGGTCTTTTCCTTCAGTAAACAGCATGGAGTCACCTTTTTGATATATGTGGTTAAAAATATACTCTGATAAAACATAGATTGAGATTTATAAAATACAGAGAAGCATAGAAAATAATCATCTATAATCCTTCTACCCATATATAACCAATGTTAACATATTGATATATTTTTCTGTTTTGCATATTTTACATAGTTGAGTTCATGATGATGTGAAACTTAGAATCCTTTTCTGAGTCAATTTTATAGTATAAAGTATAAACATAAAGTAGAGTAAAAGTATCATTCCTATGTCACTAACATTTCTTCATAACAACTTTTTATGACTATATAATATTCTACTCTCTGGATACAGTCTAATTTATTTAACCACAGCCATCTTTTTAGACAATGGTTATTTTCAGCATTTGCTATTAAAATAATGCAGTTATTAACCTCTGGAGAATATGGTAGTTTAATAACTTACTTTAAACTGAAATACAGATGGGCTTTAAAAATCTACTGATTTTAAAAATCACCTGAAAACGTTAATTGGTTTATTACAGTAAAATACACTATAGATAAAGTTGCTTTTTCCTGTATTTGTTTCAGACCACATTTATACTTCTAGAGGTAAACTAAAACACCAGGCTTAATCTATCTCTAGTTCTGAAGAAAAATTACCTTGAGAAAAAGTTCTTTTGTTTCTACTATTTAACTAGCCTAATCAATTAAAGAGACTTGATCATTTAGCTTTATACGTACAATGTTAAGCATGGAAAAAGGCCCAGATGCTACCAAATCGTTTAAATAATGCTGGTTATTTAAAAGCAGTTTTTTACTCCTTCAGAATAGTACTTGTCTTAATTTTAGAAACATAAAAAAGTTTTTGAGAACTGAACATTGTGGTATTCCTATGAAATAGAATGCATTAATCCTAAACTCTACTGTCCTATTCTAAATCCTTTCTTAGTCGTGGCTTATTTAAGATCATGAATGGTCGTTAATAAAATAATTACTCATATAGCTAGTGTATACGACTTCTATCTACAATTTAAAACCTCTGCTAAAGTTCAGACCTGAATCGCTGGAGAACTCAAGAATTAACTTCACCAAAGGTCTGAGAGACTGATACTTGAAACTGAATTTAAAGGTTTTCCTACTCTAGAAACAATGAAATACAGTATATTCAAAAAAATGGCAGTCTGGAGGAACTCAGAGAAGGGAAAGGAATCCAAGGAACAAAAACATCAGCAACACACATACCACGAATTCTTCATCCACTTTAGTTAATGTTAACTCTGCATCATCTTCTGGAACAGTTTCTTCTTCTAATTCTTCTACTGGGTATGCTGGCCTAAAATAATAAGGCTTAATATGAGGTAAGAGCTTAAGAAAATATCTTAGCAGAACACAACAGTATAATGTGAATATTAACAATCTACTCTATACCAAACTTAGCCCTTTTTGCAGTCCCCCCTCACCCATCGCCAGCAACCACTTCTTCCTGAAACTTTCTATGTAAAGAAACAAAAATTTTCATCTCTAAATCTTAAAAACAAATACACATAAATAGGATCATACCACACATATTGTTACCCAACTGACTTTTTTCACTCACCAATATACCACATTTCAGTATATATACATCTTCGTCCTATTTTTTTAAACGCCTGTACTGTATTCCATTGTATAGCAGTACCACAGGAGTCCCTGGGTGGTGCAGATGGGTAAGCACCTGACTACTACTGGAAACACTGGCAGTTCAAACCCACCCAAAGGTGCCTTGGAACACAGGCATCTGCTTCTGAAAGGTCAAAGCCTTGAGAACTCTATGGAGTAGTTCTACTCTGCACGCATAATTAATTTAACTGGCAGCCTGTGACTGAACACTGAGATTGTTCCTAGTATTTTTTGTTAGACAATGTTGCAAAGATCATCCTTGTACACGTACCTTTCTGAAAATCATTTAGAACAAATTCCTACAAAGTGGGATGGCTGGGCCAACAGCTTTGTAAATATCGTAGTTTTGCTAAATACTACCAAAATATTGTCCTAATTTATACTCCCAACCACAGTGAAGAACAGTAGTCACTCCTTTTCCATACTTTCACCAATGTGGGGTACAGACTTCAATTTTTGCCAATTACCCAAGAAAAAAAAATCTCATTCTTGCATTTATTTCATATGAGAACAGTTGAACATGTTTTCATTGGCCATTTGTGTTTCTTTTTAAGTGAAATGTCGAAAAATGTCAAAATGTCAAAAAAAATGAGGAAGATGTATATATACTGAAATGTGGTATACTGGTGAGTGAAAAAAATCAGTTGGGTTAAAGTTCTTTGCCCTTTGACTTTTTGTATATTAAGGAAATTAATGCTTTGCTAAAACAGTGTTAAAAATATTTTTCCTAGTTTATTACTTATTATAATAAGTACTAAATGGCTATTCAAGACAGGTACACTTCTTATTAGATAAACTTGGCAATCCTTTCTTGCATGGAACCTAATTTTATATCACATAACCAGGCATTTTCTTACCCATGTATTCCTCTGGTCTTTTAGTACTTCTATAGTTCCATTTTTTACATTTAAATCATTTATCATTCTGAAATTTATTTTGATATACATAATAAGAAGGGCTCCAGCTTTATTCTTATTTCTAAAATCTAATTAGTGGTCCCAACATTAAATATAGGACATTCCATCACCTATCCATTGAGGTTAACAACATGAATCTCCCACATTAAAAACACACAAATGTATTTGTGTTTGTTTCTGGAAACTTGTCTTAAAAATTCGTAACTTCAGACAGGTTAACAAAATAAAAAATCAACATTTATTATTAAGGAAGGAAAGCTGTCATTAATTAGATAGTAATACCGTATTTTACACAAACAAGGCATACCTTCTACATTTGTTTGCCAAATGTTCCCTCCCCTGTGGAAGTATTTTTGTAAACACGCTATGCGAATTTTTTTTACAGCAACATGTTAAAAAAACTGGCATAGCAGAGCTCATGAAATACCTCCAGTGGAGTGAGGGATGTTGTAAAAAAATTAGCATAGTGGTGCTTCAGAAAATACCTCTCAGGGGGAGGAAGCGAGCATTTGGAAAACACAGAAGGTGAGCGTTATTTGCGTTACAATACAGTAACTTGAAATAACATTCTTCTAGGATTTGTTTTGGTATATTTACATATATAAAATAATCATCTATAAATATGTAACTTCTTGTAATTTATATTTGCTAGTATGTTCACTCCCACACGTCTGTCAGTTTGTCATACTGTGGTGGCTTGCATGTTGCTGTGATGCTGGAAGCTATGCCACTGGTATTTCAAAGGCCAGCAGGGTCACTCACGGTGGGCAGGTTTCAGTGGAGCTTTCAGACTAAGAGAGACTAGGAAGAAGGACCTGGAGAACTACTCTGAAAAACTGGCCAGTGAAAACCTTATAAGTAGGAGCGGAACACTGTCTAGTATAGTGCTGGAAGAAGAGCCCCTCAGGTTGGAAGGCACTCAAACCTGCCTCCTCAAAGTAGAGTCCACCTTAAAGACATGGATGGAGTCAAGCATTTGGGACCTTCATTTGCTGATGTGGCACAACTCAAAATGAGAAGAAATAGCTGCAAACAACCATTAATAGTTGAAATGTGGAATGTATGAAGTAGGAATCTAGGAAAATTGGAAGTTATCAAAAATGAAATGGAACCCCTAGAGATTGATATACTAGGCATTAGCGAGCTGAAATGGACTGATATTGGCCATTCTGAATTAGACAATCATAGTATCTACTATGCTGGGAATGACAAATTGAAGAGGAATGGCGTCACGCTTGTTGTCAAAAAGAACATTTCAAGATCTATCCTGAAGTACAAACCTGTTTGTGATAGGATAATATCCATATGCCTACAAGGACGACCAGTTAATATGACTATTATTCAGATTTATGAACCAACAACTAAGGCCAAAGATGAAGAAATTGAAGATTTTTTACCAATTTCTGCAGTCTGAAATTGACCAAACATGGAATCAAGATGCACTGATAATTCCTGATGACTAGAATACAAAAGTTGGAAACAAAGAAGAAGGAACAGTAGTTGGAAAATATGGCCTTGGAGATAAAAACAATGCCAGATATCCCATAACAGAATTTTGCAAGATCAATGACTTCTTCATTACAAATACCTTTTTTCAACAACATAAACGGCAACTATACATATGTGACCTTGCCTGATAGAAAACACAGGAATCAAACTGACTGCATCTGTGGAAAGAGACGATGGAGAAGCTCAGTATCGTCAGAACAAGGTCAGGGGCTGACTGCAGAACAGACCACCAATTGCTCATATGTAAGTTCAAGTTGAAGCTGAAGAAAATTAGAACAAGTCTGGGACAGTTGAAGTATACCACCTTGAGTATATCCCACCTGAATTTAGAGACCATCTCAAGGAAAAATCTGATGCATTAAGCACTAATGACCGATGACCAGACAAGTTATGTGATGACATCAAGGATATCATGCATGAAGAAAGCAAGAGGCCATTAAAAAAACAGGAAAGAAAGAAAAGACCAAAATGGATGTCAGATGAGACTCTGAAACTTGCTCTTGAATGCAGAAACGGCTACAGCAAAAGGAAGAAATAATGAAGTAAAAGAGCTAAACAGAAGGTTTCAAAGTGTGACTCAAGAAGACAAAGTAAAGTATTATAAAGAAAAGTGCAAAGACGTGGAGATAGAAAAATCAAACGGGAAGAACACACTGAGCATCTCTCCAGTTGAAAGAACTGAAGAAAAAATTCAAGCCTGAAGTTGCAATACTGAAGAATTCTATGGGGGAAAATATTAAACAATGCAGGCAGCATCAAAAGAAGATGGAAGGAATACACAGAGTCACCGTCCCAAAAAGAATGGGTCGACGTTCAACCATTTCAGGAGGTAGCATATGATCAAGAACCAATGGTACTGAAGGAAGAAATGCAAGCTGCACTGGTGAAGAACAAGGTTCCAGGAACTGACAGAATACCAACTGAGATGATTCAACAAACAGATGCAGCACTGAAGTGCTCACTCATCTATGCCAAGAAATTTGGAAGACAGCTTCCTGGCAAACTGACTGGAAGAGATCCATATCGGTGCCCACGCCAAAGGAAGGTGATCCAATAGAATGTGGAAATCATTGAATAATATCATTAATATCACACACAAGTAAAATTTTGCTGAAGATAATTCAAAAACAGTTACAGCAGTGTATCAACAGGGAACTGCCAGAAATTTAAGCCAGACTCAACTCAGAAGAGGACGTGGAATGACGGATATCATTGCTGATGTCAGATGGATCTTGGCTGAAAGCAGAAAACACCAGAAAGATGTATACTTGTGTTTTATTGACTATGCAAAGGCATTAGACTGTGTGGATCATAACAAATTATGGAAAACATTGCGGAGAATGGGAATTCCAGAACACTTAATTGTGCTCATGAGGAACCTGTACATAGATCAAGAGGAAGTTGTTCAAACAAAACAAGGGGATACTGCATGGTCGAAATTCAGGAAAGGTGTGCATCAGGGTTGTATCCTTTCACCATACTTATCCAATCTGTACGCTGAGCAAATAATCAGAGAAGCTTGACTATATGAAAAAGAATACAGCATCAGGATTGGAGGAAGACTCATTAACTACCTGTGATATGCAAAAGACACAACCTTACTTGCTGAAAGTGAAGAGGACCTGAAGCACTTACTAGTGAAGATCAAACACACAGTCTTCAGTATGGATTCCATGTCAACATAAAGAAAACAAAAATCCTCACAACTGGATAAATTAGCAACATCATGATAAATGGAAAAAAGAGTGAATTTGTCAAGTGTTTCATTTTACTTGGATCCACAATCAACGTCCATGAGAGCAGCAGTCAGGAAATCAAGTGACGGATTGCACTGGGCAAATTTGCTGCAAAAAACGTCTTTAAAGTGTTAAAAAGTAAAGACGACACTTTGAGCACTAAGGTGCACCTGACCTAAGCCATGGTGTTTTCAATCACCTCATATGCATGTGAAAGTTGGACAACGAATATGGAAGATCGAAGAAGAACTGATGACTTTGAATTATGGTGCTGGCGAAGAATACTAAATATACCATGGACTGCCAGAAGAACAAATGTATCTGTCTTGGAAGAAGTACAGCCAGAATGCTCCCTAGAAGCAAGGATGGTGAGTCTTTGTCTCACATACTTTGCACATGTTATCAGGAGGGACCAGTGTCTGGAGAACGACATCATGTTTGGTAAAGTACAGGGTCAGTGAAAAAGAGGAAGACCCTCGACAAGATGGATTGACACAGTGGCTGGAACAACGGGCTCAAGCATGACAATGACTGTGAGGATGCCTCAGGATTGGGGAGTGTTTCCTTCTATTGTGCACAGGGTCACTATGAGTCAGAACTGACTCGACAGCACCTAACAACAACAGCATATTTATCAATTTTAGTATTTTACAATGTTTTCTCCTTTTTCTTCCCCATGTACTACTATTGTGGTTAGCTGCCATCAAGTAGACCCCTGGCCCATGGAGACCCGTGGACAACAAAAAGAAATGCTGCTTCGTCCTGTGCCATTGCCATGACTGGTTGTGAATCAGACCATTACGATCCATAGAGTTTTCACTGGCTGATTTTCAGAAATAGATTGCCAGGCCTTTCTTCCTAGTTCATCTTAGGCTGGAAGCGCCAGTGAAACCTGTTCATCATCATAGCAACATGCAAGCCTCCACTGACAGATGGGTGGTGGCTGCACATAAGGTACATTGGCCAATAGTCGAACCCTGCCCTGCACACAGAAGGCAAGAATTCTACCACTGCCCTGATAAATTACCTAAGTCACTATATATGACCAGTAGATAAGACATGCTTAGAAACAAAAGATGTGTAAAATTGAATAGTGGTTGAGATAATAACAGTTTCTGGTGAATATATTAGACTACAGACTTAGTAATAAAATAAAAACGCCAAATGGAGCAACACATAACTTATCTTTTCTGAAATCTGATAAAGAAGTGCTTTGGATCACCTAACCACTCTTTATATTGTACTAAATGGTAATGTTTAGGTTGAAGCATATAAACATGACTTTTTTTTTTTTTATATCAAAGCTAACTGAATAAAGCTAATTTCATATGGTTCAATCTGATGGGAACATGAGTCTAGGAAATTTTTAAAAGTACTTATTAAAAGGGAGTAAGTTATTCACCTGAGACAGTGTAATTGAATATGCATTACTATATTAATAGGGAACAATATGCATCTTTCTACAGAAGTTAGCTCTAGTCCAAAAATCAGTTTGCTAGTGTGTTATCTGCATAATGCCTTCCACATCCTCTAACTTATCAATGATCCCAATTTCAAAGTGCCAAATTTACATATTTCCTAATTTTAACTTATAAAATTTAAATAACCAAAATCAAACCAGTTGCCGTTAAGTCGATTCCAATTCATAGCAACCCTATAGGAGAATCTTTACAGAACCACACTGCCACATCTTTCTCCCGCGGAGCAGCTGGTGAATTCAAACCTCCAACCTTTCAGTTACCAGCGGGGTGCTTAACCACCGTGCCACCAGGGCTCCTAAAATTTAGTTTTTGAATATTTTATTTTCTTCATCTACACGATCAACATTTATTGCCCATCTATGACATACCAAACACTATGCTGTTATAGAGTACACATGAAGATTTCATGATTTCTAGCAAGGAAGTCTAACCTATAAACAAACAATTTTAGGATAATTATAATATAATAATAGAAATATAAACAAAGGACTGTCAGGCGAGAAAGAAGCAATGAACAATGTCTAGGTGAGTGTCAGATGGTTTCTTCCCAGTACTACTCTTGACCAATCACTATAAGCAAAGGCGACAGTCCCATTTGTAGTCACTTCCATTTTTTCCTTAAATCTGCAGCTATCAGTTTTCCCAAGTAGATATTATGTTTGTGCGTGAAAATATATACACAAAGAGACTTTATAATTTGTTCTTAAATTTGACAAGAATTACATATTTGATCAGAGAAGGAGCACAATAATATCTAACACATTATTTTAAACTGTTTTTGAAGATACCTGGCATTCTAATTTTGTCTATATTGAATTTTTTTTTAATCACCTGTGGAATTTTCAGTTTGTAACACTCAAAAGGAAATAGTTCTTATCAATTCGATTAAGCAGCTCTGAACTCTTAAAAGAAGAAGCTATGCACATATAATTACTAATACTAGGTTGGGCAATTTTTACCTCTTCCAGGTGAAACCAATATATTTTAATGCTTCTTCAGCTAAACAATCAAGAACATAGCATACATGCTCTCCATAACCAGACTTTAATTTTGAAGGAGGAAAATCTGCAGTTCTTCCCTGAAATACAAAACATAAACAAGGTATTATTTGTTATTTATATTCCAAATGTCAAAATATTTTAAGCAAAAAACTTCTAAAGAGATTTATCACTTCTACATTTATCAAGATGAATTAAAATAACTACATTGCCTCATAGAAATCCATCTTTAGTTTTCTCTTTTTAATCCATTGATACATAAAAAATCAAAGGAAAATAAAGATATTTTGTTGTGAAAAGTATTAAATTAAAAGGCAATAACTCCACAGCAGCAGAACAAATCACTGATCCTGTTGGGGTGAAGATCAGTAAAACTACCAGCTTGGTATCACAGGGCAACCACATGAAGGACAGAGACTTACCTGCAAAAATTAATAACACTTGTGCCAAAAATGTATCACTGCCTGTCCCCAGGAAAAGTCAAAATGAAAGCACAACTGCTATCCTCCTTGATTAAATCAAGGTTCCCTTTCAAAATACAGTATTTCAGCTTCCAAGTTTATCATTTTTAAGAGGAGAACTAAGAACCCATAAATTTACCTCTAAGATATGTCAAGATTAAGAAAAATATTATTACTTTGGGATATAAAGAGTGTCCACTGAACATTTTTTTTTAGAAGTAGCACTAATGTTATAATATCAACCATTCTGAGGTTTTATCTGAAAATAAATTCAGATATAATCACATATATTCACAGAAGATTCATCTAAAAGCTAGCATTTATGTTGCTGAATTATCAATATTAAAATTCATAACTTGAAAACATGCAGAGAATTGTTTACACTTACGAATGATCGAAGCTCTGATAGTATGTTAGATATTGTTGCATTAGGATCATCATACTCTTGAGGCTGCTCAAAGAGATGTCCTGCTTTGTTAATCAGCCAAGCAGCAAGAGTGCAAAACATGTAGAACTGTTCACCAGGGTTGGTGGGCAGTGCAAAATAGTGTCTGTTTCAAAACAAGGTGGGGAGGATATGAAATAATGCAAAGTAAGTCAACACTAGCTAAAGGTGCTCAGTCCAAAATTGCCGAAGAACTTTTTTCTTCAGTGGCCTTAAAATCAAGACACTGATATTTTACCCTTTGAAGTTTCCATTAATCTACAGCACTCACATTAAAGTTTTCAACCAACAGAATTAGGGCAATTACTACTGTACACAAAACATTAGTTCAAAGTCCTTACACTCAGAAAATGCAGTGCATGTTAGAAAACAAAGCATGTGGAACTTTTGCTAAAATCAGTCAAGTGTTAAGAATAATTAACGAGAGTGCCTCCTGAAAATGGTAACTTGGAATTAAGAGAATCTGAGTTAAAATAAGCTTTAAAGATTATTCACTTTGTTTTTGCACTTTTTACAATGTTACTGCTATCGTTACATCCTTTTTCTATCAGCTATGTTTATCAGTTGTTCTCAATTTGGCTACATATTTGAATCACCTGAACTAAAAATACTCAGACCCACTGCTGAGGAGTCCATTTTTTTAGAGTAGAACTGCACCATAGGGTTTCCAAGCCTGTAATCTTTCCGGAAGAAGACTGCCACATCTTTCTCCCTCAGAGCAGCTGGCAGGTTCAAACTGCTGACCTTTCAGTTAGCAACTGAGCGCCTAACCACTGCGCCACCAGCGCTCCTTTGAATCTCCTGAGGAAATCATAAAAAATTGATGCCCATCCACACACCACCTCTCACCTCACCAATGCATTAAATCAGAACTTTTGGGAGTGGAGCCCCAGTATTTTAAAGCTCACCAGACAGTTCTTAAGATGCAGAGAGGGTTAAGACACACATTCCTACCCTAACATTTGTTGAAATTTTCTAAATCTCTTAGCCTACTGAAAACAGTCCTACGAGGATCAATATAATTTATACCTAAATATGCTAGCAACAAAACATGCTAGCAACAACATTCAAGTCAGTGTGATCAAAAATCTTAACTTGCTTTTTTATTTGTAGCTATTACTATTAAATTTATATTATAGCTATTATCACCATTTGTCGTAAAAATCAGCAGTCTGCCTCTTCACACTTCCCAAACTATTTTTCCTGCAGTATAAGTGTAAATGCTCTGGATGATAACAAAAAGTTGAAAAGGAAAAAAAAAGGGCATGAAGCCCTACCATGTATGCATTTACAACCCATTCAAAGCACCCACCCACCAACAACTCATCTTTTCCTTACAGGATAGTGGACAGAGGAATAGATACTGATAGACCTAGGTCAGTGGTTCTCAAACTTTAGTGTATATCAGAATGACCTGGAAGCCTTGTTAAAACATAGACTGCTAGATGCCAACCCCAGAATTTCTGATACAGTAGACTTGGGAAGAGGCCTGAGAAAGTGCATTTCTGGTAAGTTCCCAAGTGACGCTGCTGCTGCTGCTGCTGGTCTGTTAGCCACACTTCAGAGCCACTGAACTAGGGTACCTCCAGTTAGATCCATGATTCAAAGTATCCTGGTGAACCCCTGAGGAAACAGCACAGAGCTGACATCAACAGAACCTTGAGGCCATCTTCTTTTAGTTTCAAAATATACTTGGAAAAAAAAAATAAAGGAAATGCATTTTGATTAACAGGAAATGTAAGCTGTCTATATTATCCTGATCGATTCACTATAAGGAATAACTCCTAATCCCACAACATATATCACAGATCAAGCAACACTACTTCTTTTCCCTGTAACTTTTCTGCTGTTAAGAACTGACTTAGCAATATGAACAGTTTACATAAAGTCTACCTAGCATAGAATTCAAGTTACCAGAAGAGAGCAGAAGAATGAGATCAAAACTGTCAAGAGAAATTATTTGAGTTTAGCTACAGATATTAAGATAAAAAGTGCTAAAGGTTCCTAATCTAAACTGTCTCTTACACAAGATAAATAAATGTAAGTATTCAAGTGATGGCAAAGCTCTAAAACGTTCTTGTCTGGCTATAGCTAGGCTACTCTGATTGGAGGATAAAGTGCTCCAGTCCATTACCCTGGCAACTAACTGCACTGCCTTCAGGATATGACACTGCCTTCAGGATATGATGAGCTTTCTCCCACCAAAAACAGGGCTGAACTTTAGGTTCTATAATAAGGGGACAATTCCAGTAGATGCCATTTTATTTGTCTTTTTCAACTCAGTTTCTGAGAGTACTGTTAATGCAAAGGCAGAAGTCTTTTAAACCACAGCAATCAGTCAACAAGTTCACTAACTGCATACAAAGTGCCTAGCAAGGTAGTAGTAGGGGCAGGTTGTCACAGAGGGCAACAAAAAACTAGAAATAGATCTAAATGACAACAGCATTCGTCTCTGGGGATGAGATTATTGGGTGATTTTAGTATTTTTCTACACTACACATTTTTCTAGTATTTTTTTCTTGTGTTGTTCTACGTTATCCACAACGGATTTTTTCATTACTTTTATAATCACAAAATACAGTTTCTGTTTTGTGGAAGTGCGTGTGCATGTTTTAAAGAACAGGAAGGGTGTCTTCCAGTACTTCCTGCCGTCCAAAAACTTGTTTACTCTACAAAAATACCAAGGCTGAGCCCATCGCCGCGAAGTTTGGGGTGAGTCGCCCCGACCTGACCAGGAAGGTGGAAGCAAGGGCTCGCGGACCTGCGCTGGGCGTTCCCCAGCAGGCCGGACGGGGGAAGGCCTCTCCCCAGGCTCGGCCGGCACCCAGGCGCTCGGGGACAAGGGGACCCACCTGGACGGGGGCTTCAGGTTGTTCTTCCGGAGGAGTTCCTCCTCATAGCGGAGCAGCTTCAGCTTCTCCACCAGGTCCTCCATCACCACGAACATGTGGTAGGCCGCGCCAGGCCCTCGCTCCACGACCACCTCTCCGGCCCCTTCGCCCCGAGACCGAGACACCCCATCCTCCAGACCCGACGGTGTGACCACTGCGGCGGCGGCAGCCATCACAGGACAAACAGAGGCCGTGGCGGGGGCTCCGGCCCACAGACCCCTCCAGCCTCCGCCAACCGCGCTGTGGTAGCCAGCGCCGCAGCGACCCGTAACTAGGCAACCGCCAGGCAATTCTTCACCAGGAAAACTAGACTCCGCCTCCTTCCAGGGACCTCCAAGTCCCTTCTACATTCCCTCCAACCAGGGCGGGCCTCCAGGATGACGTCACCATGGACTCCGCCCCTTCAGACGCTAGGGTCGGGGAGGCTTGGCGGCAGCCCCACCCCTGGAGGCGTGGCGTTCCGTGCCCCACGTCCGACTGCGCCTCTTCCCGCGGCATCTTAAAGGCGGAGGCGGGTCGCAGTGTTCATCTCAGCTTCGCGAGGGCGGTCTGTCTCTCTTGCTGGATTCCGAGGGCGTCTGAGCCGGCCTTTGGGCCTGCTGGTAGCGGTTAGAAAGATTGAAGGGAGAGCAAGACGCTCACTATTGAACACTACGCTAGCCCGCTGATATTTTTTTTTCTCCTTAATATTGAAAGTTTTCATAGTTGTCAAGGCAGTCGATATTGTAGGTTTCACTTTATCTCAGGAATTTTCAAACAGGCTTCTTCTTAAAAAATGTACTCTCTGTCTCATTAGGCAATGCTTTATTGAACAGCATATTATAAGGTTTGAAGAATGGCCTGTTATTACTCGAGTGCTAGGAAAGGGGTTGCTTAGGAGGAGGTAGAGAAAAAGAAAGACTGAGAGGATGAGCAAAACGGAAGCCTTGGGAAGGATTTGTTCTACCTCAAAAACAAGAACACTAAACTCACAGCCTGATGCTTAATATTTCAAGCCCATTACATGTAATATAAAGTTTTGGGGTACCTTGTTAAACCAACAAAATAAAGGAGATTATCTTGGAAGGAGTTTCCCAACACTGTGGTCCTAAATGTAGTTAACTTGCTACTTGCTATTGACCTAAACTATACATGCAAGACAGGGGCTATAACTACCACTATGAGGACCAGCTTTGCTCAAGAGGTTTGTGTATCAAGCAGTTTTCCTAGCAGCTACGTAAAATATGAGGTAACTGGTAGATGCCTGGAGATTTCCTGGGAGAAGAAAACATGAGGTTGAACACAAGTTTTGTGTTTAACATGAGGAATCTTTGATCTCTTGTATCTGCCACTAAAGAAGTCGCATTTTTTGACATAACTGAAGTTTGAAATATGCCTGTAATATCTTTGTTTTTGTTAGAAAAATGAGCAGAAGAGCACTTTCATTTTAATATCAGTCTAGAACTAACGAATTTGATACTAATAAAAATATTCAAGTGAAAAATCAGAAAGGCAAACACCTTTTTCTAGTCACCAAAGAGAGAAAATATAAAGACAAAAACAAAAAAACTTATCTATGTAGAAAGTAACTCAAAAGGGAAGGCCAACTGAGAAATGCTTCTTAAATAGCATTGTGTCCATAATGTGAGTTATTAACCAGCTTTTTTTTAAGTAAAAATAAGTGGGAAAGTTGAGTCTGACTCTACCCTGCTGTCATATTGATCTTTCCTTTTCTTAGCCTTATGGAAGCAGTGATTCTTCCCCACACATCCCCACTACCACATGTTCGGGAGATGTGGTGTTGTGGCACATCTGTATAACTTCCAGAGTACAAAATAGATGTATAGCTTTTTAGAATGAAAAAGAAATCAATAAAAGCTGAGATACATGCTTTGGGGTGTTTGGTTAACCAACAAGCAACCTGTGGCTTTTAAAATGACTCTGAAAAAGGTGTCAGAAGTCATAGGGTAAATAGGTTACACCCAGGAAGATGGATGGTCACACAGGGCATGCTGCCTACATAAGATGTTCTGACATTTTCAGGACTTACACAGCAACATGAAATAGTCAAGCACTGCTTTTTGGCTGATGAGAACCCTCCGAAAATGATCGATGCCTTTTAATGGGGGTGAAGGGGGGAGACTCTCCTAGAACCTGGCCATTTCCTTGCCAGGTACTGTATTGACTCAGCCTGGTTTGAAAGCTGTGTGAAGAATTATTCTTCTCTTTAATGTAGTCTTAAAAAGAAAAAAAGCAACAACACTAAAACAAAGTGTCCCCAGTAACTGTAGCAGAGCCCTGGTGCTGCAGGGGTTAAGAGCTATGGCTGCTAACCAAAAGGTTGGCAGATGAAATCCACCAGCCGCTCCTTGGAAACCCTATGGGGCAGTTCTACTCTGTCCTATAGGGTTGCTATGAGTTGGAATTGACTTGATGGCAATGGGTTTGGTTTTGGTTTTCTAGTAACTGTAGCACAGAGGGAATGAAAGGCATATGGGAAAAGCCAACAACTTTTCAACACTGTGTTTTCCCACGGCAAAAAGATGGGAAAGAACCCTGAAATGTTTTATTTTTATAAGGCTCAGGGATAATTTGTGCTGATTCCTTGGTCACCTACAATAAATAGTTGATAATGCACCAAAAGTTCTTTTCCTTGATGGAAGTAGTTTCCTTCACATATATAGAGAGAATGCATACTCAAATCCTGTCTCAGCCTCTTGGAAGCTTTTAAGTACCTTTGTGTTAGTTTTTGTTTTTGTTTTTTTTTTTTTTTTCAGGACTGGCTCTGAAATTCATTGACAAGGGAGTTAGGGCTTGAAGAGAATGGAATGTTGAAGTATGTTCATGCTCACTTTACAGAATCTTAAGAGAGATTTATCTCTGGCTCTACTGTGTTAACCACAGTTAATAGCTGGGCTTCTGACTTTCACTTTGGTCTCTTGCAGACTATCTACAAAATGACCAGAGGTAATTTTGAGGCCCTCAGGGTCTTCCTGTGAATGAATGGGTTAATCTCTGAAAATGGAATAACTCCTCATTCAAAGTTGACTGAACAGCATCCCAGTGAAAGTTTAGTTAAGCTAAATGGATTACTCTGAAAGTGCTTGGCAAGGCTGGGGTGAAAAGGAGGCAGGTTCAAAGATTGAGGAAGGCTCTCAAGTTGCATCTTCAAATATAAGAACAAGTCCTCCAAGAAATGTGGGCCGGCTTAAAGAACAAAGCTGCTTTGTGTTATAAGTGGCTTAGTAGCACTCATTCATGGTTTTAAAAACTTAGAAAACCACTAACAGAATAATACTTCTTTAAGCTAATAAAAAAATGTCTGCTAAAAATCTAGGAGGAGAAAAGCATTAGATACCATGACTTTTAAAGCTGAAATCAAGGCAAAAACATTCACTCTGAATTCAAAACTATACTAGAGATCAGAGCCAGTGCATTGAGACAAAAAAATAAAAAATAGGGGTATTATAAAAGAAAAAACTATTGCAGGTGATATGATTGACTAAGTAAAAAATCCAAGAGAATCTACTAACTATTAAAACAGCACAGCAAGATTGCTGTATGTGATAACCAAATTAAAGAAAAGTTATTAGAAACATTAGTTAGAAAAGAAAAAAAACAACTCTCAATAACAAACTATGTATAGTACCTAGGAGTAAATCCATCATTATCTTTATGGAGAAATTGTTAAACTTTATTGAAAGTCGTGGAAAAATCTAAATAGGGTTACAATGTTCATGGATAAGAAAAATCAGTATCTTTGTCCAATCTATAAACGCAGTACAATTTTGACTTAAACTCCTAACAGGTTCATCCTGAAATTCATATGTAAATTTTAAAGAAGCTTGAGTAAGGGGTCACCATATCTGTTAGCAAGGTTCCTAACAAAAGTATAACTTAACATAATGATATCACACAAATAAATAGAAAATAGAACGTCTAAAAATAAATGAGTGTTTATATAGGAACTCAGTGTATGACAAAATTAGTGTTACCAATTAGTGGAGAGACATAAACTCTCCAATGAATGCTATTGAAGCTATAGATGATCCATATGGAATAAATTACATCTCTGATTCTCATCACACAAATGTCATATGGATTAAAGATATAAATGTGATTTACTTGTCAGATGTTTAGAAAAAATAGAATATCTTTAATCTCAAGGTAGGGAAGGGTTTCTTGAAATAAGCAAAAAACAATTTTAAAGAAAAAAACTAATCTGTATTGTACTTAGGTATAGTAAAGGCTCTATAAACACTGAAAAAAGAAGATATTTGTGACCCAGATAATGCCAGTTGTTTAGTCTCTAGGCCTCTGTGCTATGCTGGAGGATTTTAGGTGTGTTCTAGCTCAGGATTTCATGACTTCGGCATTTTTAACACTGTAGGCTGCATAATTCTTTGTTGTTGAGAGCTATTCTGTGCATCGTAGGATGTTTAGCAGCATCCCTGGCCTCCACCTAGTAGATGTCAATAGCACTCCCCCCTCCCGACTGTGATAACCAACAATGTCTCTAAACAAGGGTGGATTAACCAGTATGCAAGGCATGCGTGGGCTTACAGTAAGCAAGGTACAGACGGATATACCTTTGCTTACTTACTGATCTGTAGTGCACAATTTCACATGGGTTTCACCACATCTTAGCAAGGGAAGTGGTTTTGTAACCTATTCCCCTGGGATTTATTTTGTTTTCTAGTACTTCTCGACTAATGGAAGCTTTCTAACCCCACTCAGATTGTGGTTAACTGCTACAGCTAAATTTTGCTCTCAACGTAGATAAATGCTATCCAGCTATACTGTACATATTTCAACACTTTCCATGGTTCCATGGTCTAATATTTTTGGTGAGCAAAGTGTGTGGGAGAAACAAAATGTATGTGTGAACTGACTTCAGTTTACTGCCTCTGTATGATAATTATTGAATGGGTACAAGAAAGTCTGTGTATGGGGGGGGGAGGGGACGGTGCTAACCAAATTTGCATCTTAGAGTATTCTGGCAATATAGTAGGAAGATGAAAAACTATTTAGAAGACCATTTGAATAGTCAGTTGAGAACTGGTCCTTAACTGGGTGGCAATGGGGGATGGTGAGAAAATGATAGTTAATAGATCTAGAAAGTGGACTCAACAGAATTTACTGACTGGCACCATGAGATGTGCTCTGGAGCATGAATGTCACCACAAAATGTGCCCTACTTGGGGGCAAGAGAGCTGGACTTTATACCCTATATTACTTGGTTACTGGCTGTCGACTGCCCTAGATGTCTTTAGGTGAGGTGATGCCTGTTGGCCAAGGGCAATTTTCTGGAGAAAAATGCAGCTGTGAACAATGAGCAGCCATTACTCACAGCAACTGGGGGATGGGTAAAAAGAAATTTGGACAGACAACAACAGCTTTTAGTACAATTGTTGATGTTAAAATGCAACACTTACGAATTTCTTTTTGGTGGAATGCATACTGATATAATGAAGATGGTCTTAAGCTTAGATAAAAAAAAAGTAAGGCTGCTAAAGGTATAAACCTTTAACCTGCTGTTTCATAAACTGTCAGATGGGAAACATAGCAGATAAGTAACTCCTTGCAAATACTGAAACATTCAGCCTTGTTTCCTTATAAGAGTTCTATTCCATTAAATATATTGGCCGCACTTTGATTCGATACACATTGAGTACTAACAAGGATGATTAATCTGATTTGTCAGAGTTTTGAAGGTTAAAGAGTAATAGGTTTATTCTTCAAGGGCTAGATTAAGAAGATTTAATTTATTTTACAGTCTGGGATGGCATTTTTCCCTCAAGGAAAAATTAAATTCAAGACTGAGAGTAGACTTAACAATAAATGTCATAGGAGAAAGCTCTCTCAATGGGACTTCCTAGGGTCTAATAAAAGCAAAATCTGCTGGATGCTACCTCCTGTGGAACTGCCACATCTTCATGGTACAACTCTGCATTTCAATGCACAAGATGCCAGACTTTTTGAAAGCCTGTGTCACAAATGGTTATTGGCACCTTGTCTTGAAGTTTGGGAACTGTTACCCAAACCATTACATGGTAATAAAGCGTTAAATCCAAATGCCTTATTTATTCCTAGTCCTCTAGTGCAGATAAATTTCTTCCTCCATGCGTACACATTTTGCTTCATGAATGGAAAAAATCCATTTTGCCTTCGCATCTAGTGAAATTTTGATGACAGAACTTTTTTTAATTATTATTTTACCATTGAAGGTATGAGTATGAAGCCCAAACTAAAAAATATGAGGTCAGCATTTTGCTTTTGACAGCAACAGAAACTATTTTCTAAGATTTATTTATTTATTTGCACAACAACTATGTGAGTACATATTTTGTGTCAGGAGCTGTGCTTGGGCATAGTGATACAAAGACTCATAAGCCTGGTCTCTGTGCTTGTCTTTGGTTGGGTTCTCTAGAGGAACAAAACCAGTGAAGTATATATATACATACATAAACCCCAAACCAAACCCACTGCCATCAAGTCAATTCTGACTCATAGCAACCCCATAGGATTTCCAAGGCTGTAAATCTTTACAGAAACAGATTGCCACATCTTTCTCTAGATATATAAAAAACAAAACAAATCTGGCACCATCAAGTCAATTCCAACTCATAGCGACCCTACAGGACAGAACAGAACTGCCCGGCAAGGTTTCCAAGGAGTGTCTGGTGGATTCAAACTGCTGACTTTTGGTTAGCAGCCATAGCTCTTAACCATTGCATCACGAGGGCTCCATACATGTAGAGAGAGAGATTTGTATCAAGGGAATGTCTTGGCAAAGTTGTGGAGGCTGGCAAGTCCCAAATCCATGGGTCAGGCATCAGGCTGGAGTCTTCTTCTGACTCATGTAGTTGCAAGGGCTAACGAACCCAAAGAT